GGTTGCTACGATTGATTGAATCTAAAAGATAGGTAAAACACGCGGGAAGCTCTAAAACGCGTGTAATCTGAAAGCACTCTTCGCTCAGACTAGGGGTTTTAAGGTAAACAATATTAGTTTTTTGAAAATCAGAGAGAAATCAGAGAGCTTTAAAAAGGAAAAGATTAAAGTAATCAACCCTTAAAACTGCTTGAAGAAGAGCGCTCACTCTTTACCATCAACTTACGAAAATTACGTGGCAGAAGAGGGCAACTTTTTGCGGACACCGAATAAAATAGAAAGAGTTGAAGAAGCGTTCAGATGAAAGATTACACTATTCTTTTCCCCACAGCAAAATAAGATACCTCCGCTATTTTCATTGAGGTGACTCGACGGTGGTGACCAATGACGCGACTTCCATTTACTGCTCCTATTTTCAGCGTGGCAACTCGGTGTAAAGGTCAATCTCCTTTCACTGAAAGCTGCCCATAAGCAAACGTCAAAAGACTTGCCGTATCCGTCGGACAGGTACACGGCAGCACAATGACCCATTTGCGGCTAAATTCCCATCCCGCGGTCGCAATGTCTGCCTCTATTTCGAACGGACTCAACTTGTGCGTTACCTGTCCGGCTACAGTTCACGGTCAGCCACGTGTGTCGCGCCCCGCGGTGGGCTGGCTGATGAATTGATTTTGGCTACAACACGTTTATTGCATCTCGTGTGAGGATTGCTAGTCCGAGTCGTGTTGTCACATTTTCGCACTTCGACCTGTCTATTCTCATACTAGCACTCAGGTTATAGTGCCAAGTTTGGCGTCACTGGATTCGGTTATCTATTTCAGACGCAGTGCCGAATCGCAGTTGCCTGGAATCCAGATTCAACTGAACTTCAAACGGAAGTAGCTTTCGGTAGCTTGATGCCGGGATCCTGTAGTTTGCAATTCCTAGTCCCTTTTTCTGATCGGAAATAGAATTTTGACCGGCCACCTGTAAAGGGACCGTGAATTTAAGTTGAAATTTTTGGCGCGTGCGATTTTCGTCGGATTAGTAAAAAAACGATCTTAAAGCTTTTTGGGGAAAGTATCCCATAAAAATCCAAAAACATATGTTACAGGCAGCTTCGTTCATTTTTATGCCGATAGACGACCAGAGGTTACATTTTAGTCCGACAGTTTTGAGCCTCATTATGCAAGACAGTAGATACAATACGTTAATTTTTTTTTTTCAAAATAATTTTTTTGGAGTGCTTTCAAACCAATTTAATTTTTGGCACTAAAGTCTTCTTTCTCATGGAAGGTCACAATTGCTTTAAATCTCAAAGCGAAACGAAGTTCATACATTCTCGCGCTGTGAGGAGCCTGCCGGCCAAGTAACACGCAGACCTCATATATTCCAAGGAGGCTACGCACTACGCCCCCTAAACGCTTCGCGTTTTAGGCGTTATGAGTGACGCCTTTCTCTTATAATTTTATATTAGAGAGTAAGATATGGGAGCCTTTATGCTAGCTACACCTTAATTCATGCGTGCAATCATTAAGCGGCCTTGTCGGTCGCTATCTACTTAGAGCTTTATTCAGTTCTAAAAGCACCAATTTTATGTCTACTTATCCAGAGCTGGTCTACATAACAGTAATATACATAATAATTTCTATAGTATTAGTTAGTTTAATTAATATTATCTATGTCACAATCAAAAGTAAAACTGTTGATTCTCGAGAAAAATACTCAATCTTTGAATGTGGAATAGATTTGATAACATCTTTGCGACTTCCAAAAGCACCAATTTTATGTCTACTTATCCAGCACACACGCACACATACGTCACTTCTATCCTTACGACCGTAGTCCCTTTCTTCGTTCTGTCTCGAATAATTGTGTCCACACTATAGATAGTCGCACTCAACAAGAAATGCCAAATTCACTTTGAATAAAGGAAATCCCTTCTTTTATCCCTGCAGTAGCTCTTCGAATTTTCAAAGAATCTCACAACTTTGCCTCGGTTTATTGCACTTTCCGCATTGTCCCCATTAATTTTGGTCCGAGCGATGTTGCCGTTTTGTGTAACTTCTCATAATTTTCTGTACAGGATTATATGAACCGTGCGGATAAATTGTGTCGGTTCGAGACGCTTGAATGTTGAGTCTTTGATCATCTCACGTTGATTTTTAAAGCGCATAGTGTTGAACACGGGCCCAAAGTGCCACAAACTAGGCTCGACTAATTAGACGGTAAATTAATCTAATTTTAAGCTCCGTGACAGCTGCCATGCAGATGTTATTCCTCAATATTAAAGGTTTTCGGTAAAAAACTAACATATAAACTATATCGTTTGAGCATTTTTAGTATTGCACTTAAGACTTTTCAATGCTCAAAGTACACTGAAAATGGTGTTTTAAAAAACCCACAGAGAAAGTATCAATAAAGCCTCATTTTCCATTTGAATTTTATATATTCATTACCTCATTATTTTATCAAATTCAGTGATATTTATGGTAAACTATGCTAGGCATCATTATTTGAGCAGCGGAGTTTGACCAAGACACACGGAGAAAAAACTTCGTCCGTGGGACCCGAAGTTGAGGTCATATGGATCTTTGAAGTTTTCGGATCACGTATCTAAAAACTTGAGGTCCAGCTGCCGAAGTTCGGGTCAGAAATTGAGGTACTTCGGTATGTACCGGAGTACTTCAGATGTGTGACCTGAACCCTTCGGTATGTAACGAAGTACTTCAGAATGTCTGACCTGAACTTCGGCAGGTGGACCTCAAGTTTTTAGATACGTGATCCGAAAACTTCAGAGATCCGTATGACCTCAGCTTCGGGTCCCACGCACGAAGTTTTTTTCTCCGTGCAAATTTAACCCATTCACTTTAAGCCCCATTTTCCTTGACTCCATCAAATATGTCAAACGCAAGAAAAAAACAAAATATATTTTTTAAAAATAATATTTGAGTATTTGTAATGGTTATCGTGTGCGAATCTGAGAAACCCAGATATTTTGAGGTGGGATGGATCACACGCAGAACAGTTCACAACCGGCGTGATGGTAGGGCGGTAATCCGCGTGTGACAAATTAGTTTGGCGGATGGTTCAGCGCTTTAATCCCACCCGTGAGTTTTTTTCTCCGAACACCACTTTTTCGGTGCGATTCTGTGGGCTGTTACGAAAATAGTTCGTTAATAGGTCGAAGACTCCGCCACGTGAAAATTCTTTGAATTTGACTAAATGGTTCCCTCGCAAAAATTCGGTAAGAAGAGGCCTTACACGTCCAAATCAGGCAAAAAGTGTTTCAATCTTGCTACTAAATAGATACAAAACAAGAATTTTACTTTCCGATTATTTTTCTGAGGTAAATAAGAGCGACTGTCAAAAGGGAAGGTTATAGGACATTTCGTCAACGATTTTTTGTCCGCGCACCTGTTTTTTCCAGTAGTTTACGTCCACGCGTTTTTTCGAAAGGGGAGTTTTGGTCCACTTACCACATGAGACCCAAAGTTAATTGGTCCACATGTAAATACGAATGACAATTGCTTACGACGTTTTTGGATGAAAATTTTTAATGTCCTGGAAGAATGAGGGTTTGCTTGTTTGTTTGCTCCAAAGGAGAAAAATATATAATTGAGATTTTTGGTAAAAATGCGGAAGAGTCATTCCCATGAGAGAAAATTTACTAAAACTCTCTACACCTCTTTGGTGCAACAGGACTTAATTATCTTTCAAGAAAATCCCATATTTTTATACATGAACTGGAAAACCTTTTGATTTGCCTCAGCTAAAGGATCTCATTTTTTTCCTGTGCATGATAACTTCGCTTCGGCACTGGTTTGCCGCAGCGCTTCGAGCTACTATTTCGCCACGGAGGTGTTGCACAGTATCATATGAGATCGAAGGCACCCCAACGTATCATGATTGATGGCATATTTCAAAAGCACGAAGTTCCCTCGCAAATTCAATTGAGTGACGACAACAAAAAGAAAGCGGTAGTCGAAAAACTTACCGCCCTAGTATCTGTATTTAATAACGTTTAGTATGATTTTTAACTTCATTTGAGGAACAAATGACCTAATTTAAGGAGAAATATCCTCAAATTTACCGCCAAGAAGATTACTTTGTGAGTTAATAAAGAAAATAATGTTTTCTCAAAGAAGAAAAGATGCTTTTATAAAAAGGAAAGTCACTTACATCAAGCAGAAACCCGCTTTTGTTCACCTATTTTATTCTTGATTCAAAATAAAATCTTCTTGACTTCATTCTCAAGAATGTTCCTTTATCTCTCTTATCTCGACTTATTTTGCAAGGAAAGTTCCGTACTCTTAAAGGATCCCTGTCATTCTAATTGTTGGTATGTTGGAGTGCCTTCAATTTCGTATAATACTGTACAACTTCTCTATTGTGAAATAGTGAGGCGCCGTGGCACGTGGCACGCTGCGGCACGCCGCGGCCAGCCAGCCAGCACGGAACGTGCATTGGCGCCTACAAACCTAAGGGATACCTCAAGCATTGCGCAATGCGTGAAGTTTCTGCTTAGGTTTGTAGGCGCCAGTGCACGTTTCGTGCAGGCAGCACGTCGCATCACTCCGCTTTATGCTAGGGCCTATTCTTTAAACTCGCGGAGTCAGCGTTTTTCAACTCATGAATTTTATATGTTTGCACACTCTGCATGGATTACTTTAATTTAATTTGGTAAAAAAAATATATATAAATAAAAGGAAAATTGAATGTGTGTTTTGTAAATATTAAGGTGTTTCGTTGTCGTATTCAATGATTTTCAAAGCACATTAATGTTTTTTTTTATATTTTGTGCTTTTACTGTGCAAGTGAGAACTTTAATTTTTCCGGCTCAGCGGTAAAAACATGTATGCGCATAAGGAAAGTAATGGTCCATACGTTGTTTCTAATCTGAGCCAGAAATTTCAGTTCCGAATTGCAAAATTTAGTCCAATTTTATTTTAATGCTTAGTCGCTCGAATTTTAAAATTCTAAAAAAAATATTCATGTAATCATTTGATTGGTTGTTGCAGGAATTAGTGAAATTATCAAATCTATTGGGAGAAGACACAACTGACCTAAACCGGGCGCTAGAGTTGATGCTAGCAGTGCCCCACCGGGCCAACGACAACAAATTCATCGGTAACATCGAGGGATACCACGGCAACATCCACAAGCTCGGACGACTTCTCAGACACGTAATGCATTTTTTCATACATTATTAAATTGAAATAATTTAAAATATGTTCAATGTTATAGGATAAATTCATATATATGATAAATACATAGTATAATATAAAAGATAAATTCATATATCTCAAAAGCATTCTGAATTTTATTTTCCGTGATTGATGACCGTCCAGTGTCCATGTCTATCAAAATAGTCAAAACAAGCAAATTGTCAAATACCCAAACAGTTGATCAATTTTTTGAGATTTACGAAGTTTTGTTATGTTTAGACAAATAGCTCTTGATTTTTTTATATATTGAACATGAGCATTAATCGGACTGCAAATTTTCCTCAACTTGAAGCAGCCAAAATATCTCCAATGATGTACTTATGCGTGAAATACTAATGTATTTGTAACTATTCTATTTTGCAGGACTGGTTTAGAATAAGTCACAAGGACGGAAAGTCAAAAGAACGATATTTATTTTTATTCAAAGCTCGAATTTTAGTGTGTAAAGTAAGGCGTATCTCGCAAGATAGATCCGTATTCGTTCTCAAAGATATCATTAGAGTAAGTACCTCCTTTCATTAAATCTATAATTTTTCCGGCAAAATGCGCACCCCGAAAAGCTTGGCAGCTGGAGCCAAGATTTTCTACCCTGACTGCCTGAAATTTGGCAACAATACCTGAAGTTCTGTATTAAAAATCGAAATTGCGGTAATTTAACCGAATTTTGACAGTCAAGATCTCGAAATTTTGCTCTAATTGGACAAAAAAAATCACAATACAGCAATGATATTTTCCAAAGAAATGATAGCAGTCGTGCAATAAAAGCAAATGATGTAGTGAAATAGAGTAGACTCAGATGCCCATAATTTGTGTAGAATTTAATCCAACTAAATATAATGTATGTTAACATACATACATACATACATACTAAACATAATCAAGTTGGAATCACTATAGTTAAGACAACAGTACACCTGTGTATAAATCATCTACATTTTCAAGTGTGCGTATTTATGCGAAAAGGAACTGAGTGAAAATGAGTTATATTATCAGAAAGAACTATGTTCATAGAGTTTTGGTGCCACATAGACATTTTTGATTCAAATAATTACCACATGGTTCCTCCCAGCATTATCTTGTGCCTTTTCGATCCGGTGCGGGAAGTTTTAATGTTGTGTCATAAAAAAATGAAAATATTATCAAGCACAATTGAAGTGCAAATTTAAATATCGATCTCAAAACTGAGATTAATCAGGTATAACTTACTTACACTTGTTTACAGTTACCAGAAGTTGAAGTAAAGGATCATCCTGATGATTCGTTAGTTTTCGAATTGCACAGTAAGATTCCAAGCAATGGCGAGTACCCACTCACTATAACAGCTCATAAGGATAACGTCAAGTTTTCGTGGCTCAACGAAATACGATTGTACTCTGCTGACGTCTGTAAGTACTTTTAATTCCTCTCATCCTTATATCTTATGGTATACCCGAATAATGACTTCCAGTACGATTTTCTAATGAGAAAATTAGAGTAAGCTGAATTTGAGCTGAATGGAATCCGGCAATTTTATGCTTTTTGTCAATGTCTAGTTGTCTACACCTTGCCTTCATTTTGTAAGGTATACCCTAAGTGCGTGTTATACGCACGAAGCATCATTTGGGAAGGGCAAGGAAATGAAAATAGTTCTCCTCCTTTTTTGAAATTTGCCCTTTGGGGGAGGGGGAGGGAGGGGGACAATGTCAGCCAACTTTAATCAATGTCAGGGCATTTTGGTAGGAAGTCCTCTCCTCCAAAAAAATTGCATTTCCTCGAAAAGACTCTGGTTTCCCTCAGATTTGACCAGAGGACGTTCTTCTTCCAAAATGATATTTTGCATTTTCAAGGGTTAAAAATCTTTCAGCGATTCCTCCCCGTGTTCAAATTCTGCCATTGTAGTAAGAAAGATTACTTAATAAAAGGAAACGGAGTGACCTCGTTTCGTGACCTTGACCTATTTTGTCCGCCATGGTGCTCACCCAGAATGCATCCCTTGAGTAAGGTCGTTGACCTTGACCTATTTTGTCATTCACTCCGGTCTTCCGCAAATGTTAGAAGATCTTCCCGACTATAATTTTGCTGGAAGGCAGCGGCCTTACTCAGAATCTATGCAGGAATTTTCAGTGATCAATCAAGCTTCTTACATTAATGACCTTGACTTATTTCAATTCAAAATCCGTTCATCTAAATTGTAGTAATATCTTTGGTTCATCTTTTCTTTTGAAAATGAATTCACTATCTAATCTCGAGGTGTGACTGAAACTGTCATCAATCAACATTTGTAACCGAGGGTAGATATTACCATTTTTAATCTCCAAAAATTGCGAATAAAAAATAAGTCGGTTCCAGGACCCCAATTTGACTTCCACTCATTTTGATGGAAGTTTGCTCATATTTTGACCCACATCAGGCTTGACAAATAGCGTTCCCTTTAAGGAATGCTCATTTTTAACTCTCATCAGCCAATGTACATTGAATAAAAGTGCGGTAATTTGCGTGAAACTTTCGATTATTCCACAAAATCTGAACTTTTTGGTGTGTCAAACTGATGTACCAGGTGACATACCCCGACTTTCGTTTTACATATCCGCAATTTTGATTCAAGTTGCCGAACTTTCTGATGGTGTAAGCAGAAGCAGGGTTCGAGTAACAGCATTTCAGAACAGAACCAAATTTTAAACAGAAATCCTGTCATACGAATCCAGTGGATCCAGTGCGTCAAAAGGCCTGAGCGAACCCTTTGACAAACCAAATGGTTCAGAGGATATGGAAAGTTAGAAATTTGGTCTAATAACTGGACTTATATTCAGTGCCAACTTGTGAAGTTGGAAATCGTGAAAGTCTCATTTAGACGTATTTATGATAAAAAGAAATAGAGACATTTGGGAAAAATGGGGTGTGCAGTAGAGAGCTGCATAAGAAACAATGTAAAAGTGACCGAGATTCCTTTTGGGAAAATGGAAAAGTGAGATTTGACATAAAATCAAAAAGAACTAAGCGCCGAAATATGCTAACTATGAGCCGTGGACATGTGACAAGATCCCTGTCCACAACGCTCATGAGTTAAGACTCAGATCAATGGATCTTCCACTCTGACGTCACTGGCGCTTTATGATTGCCATTCATTCTTACGGCCCTCGACTGACGAGCACACTTCTTCTTTCCCACCCGGTTCCGCTTCCTTTTAGCATTAATACGTCCATTTTGTCGCCCTCCTGACATAAGGGCGTAACTACACTCTGCAATGAAACCTGTCGTCTTGCGGGCTGATTGTTGAAATTGATAGACAATGCTCTGGACAAAACAGACACAAGGGATATGGAGGGATCCTATTGGTGGAAGCGGGTGGTTGCAATGGACAAAGGAGGTAGGTAATAGACTAATTAACGGCAACTCACGAGAGACCCTATAATTAGTCCATCAATCATTTCCTTAGTCTATAAGAACCATTCATTTCAACCAAAAGGATCGCTTTATGCACCCTATGTCTTATTTTTATATAGCTTTGTCTATCAAATTCAACGATCAACCCGCTGACAATGCTTCTCGGGGCTTATCTCAATTTGTAGTTACGCCCTTATTTCAGCCAAGCGACGATTTCATGAACCCATTTTCTCTTTCTGTTCGACAGTGGCCCTCGCCGAGCACGCAGCGGACGACCTCCGGCTCCAAGAGAAGGAGGACGACAAGCACTTCGAGCCGCTGAAAGGCGTGGAGCTCGAGATCACCCCGGACATCGAACTCGAGCCCTTCGTCGCGCCGCCGACCGCCAAGCCACTGCGCCACGTGCCCGAGCCCAAGCGGCCGCCGCTGGAGGCCCCGAAGAAGTCCGTGCTTCGCGTCGGTGGAAACACGGAGGACAAGGAGAACCAGGAGTTCATCGAGGCCGAACAACGGCCGAGTATAACCGAGCAACGGCCGAGTATAACTGAACATCGCTCGAGTATAAGTGAGCATCGCTCGAGTATAAGCGAGCGTCGGCCGAGTATAACCGAACATCGGCCGAGCATAGGCGAGGTCGTCATCTCGGAGTCATCCAAGTCCGTTCAAGAAGTCCGTTCCTCGCAGTATATCCAGGAAGAGGAATCCAAAATGAGTATCCGCTCCGTTAAAACCTCCGGTAAGTGATACCTGACTTACTAAAGTACGTAACTACTTTAACTATTCTGCAAAAAGAGGATCCAATTTTGGGTATAATCCACCTACTGTCAGTGGAACAAAACTCAAATAAAATTACAGATTCTTTAAAAAAAAATTGGTGGATGATATCTGCAATGTATGCGAAAGAAAAACTTGTTTTAAAGAATATGGCGTGTCGTATTATTTTCACTTGAGCACTCTTCCAACAAGCATATTTGTTTGTACACGCGCAAAAAGCGCATTGCCTCTTGCCCACCGCACGGTTGTCAAAGTTATGAAGACCTGCTGCGCGAAATCACATGTTTGGTTATGAATGTCACTCGTCCAGGTATAGGTGTGCACCGCGCATAGGTGGACGTCAGCGAACCTATACGCGTAGCACGGCTACCTGAACGAGATACCTTAGTAACCTACACGTGTAACTTTATTTGGTAAGTCATCTCAATTTTATCAACGATGGTAACTTAACATTCTGGATGTAAAAAGTGGGCGACATCTCACAAAACGCGCCACAGCAGGCCTTATAGCAATGTCAAGATGTAAAGCTAACTGCTGTGGCGGATAATTCGGCGTTTTGCGAGTTGTCACTCACTTTTTTGCATCCAGAATGTTAAGTCGGCATCCTTTTTTCAGGGTATGGGTGAGAGGCAGTGCGCGTTTTTCCATGATTCCTTATAAATCCTCGTGAGGCTGGTTACTGATAGCACCAATACGCGAACGAGGTTAGGTAAGAACATTGCAACGCTCTCTGCTTAAATGTACCATCTTCAAAACTTACATCCAAATCCGTTATTTTGAAGATTCCGTTGATTGTTTCAGAGTACCGCTCGGTAACATCAAGCGTGAGCGAGGAGGTCTACATGGAGACCTCCTCGAACCAGATGGAGCAGGTGGCCTCCTCGACCTCCTCCTCCTCTCGGAGCTACAAGAAAATGGAGCACTCCGTCGACGGGAAAACCATCTCGCATGTTGAGGAGATCTCCTCGACGCAGGGCGGCTACGGTGACCTCTCCGGCGGAGGCGGAGCCATTGACCGCCGTCAGTCGCTACTCTCCATCCAGGAGCTTGTCTCCGCGCGACGATCTTCTCAGGTTGACTCCTTAGCCTCCTCCGCCAGTTCACTCTTCTCTAAGCCCATCGCTGGATCCGCCGTCGAACGTAAGTCGTACTATTATTTTCATTGTATCCTGTGCTGCATGCTATGAGTCGGGTCAATTTGTTCTAGGCCCCCGCAATTTTTTGCGACGAGCTGGGTTTACGCAAGGAAGGTCAACGGAACGCGCTCATCAAAAGTTTGTTAAATTTTTGGATGAGTGCGAAAGTTGCATTACCCCATGAGAGTTGAAAATCTGAAAACCTTTTAAAAAAAAGCAACTCAGCCTCCACGATTCTTCGTCTCCCGGACTAAGGATCGTAATTCTATTCCAAGATTGCCATATTGACTCAAACAAATGATGTATTTTACTTAAACGTACCTGTGAAAGTCTTATTCTCAGATTTTCTGATTTTTGCATGAAATCCGAGGTAAAATCAATGACATTTTCAGTTAGATATGCCCAAGATTCTCCTAATTTACACGCAATTTGCGACGGAAAATTTGGCAATATTGGAAAGGAGTTACTTTCTTTTAAGAGGGAAACGAAGAAAGCAGTTCACTTTACAATTTGGTCACGACTGTGCGGTCGCACGATCGAAAAGAATTTGAGCCCCTGAATCGTGCTTTGGTACAGGATTTAAAATCCTCTGTAGAACAATCTGCCCAAATGTTGAGTCCGTGCAGATAATATTGCAGATTTAAATATAACCGTTTGAAAGAAATAGGTCTGTTGTGCTCGCGACTAAATTGTGTTTTGATGGTCAAGGGTTGAAGAGCCTCTGTAATGACGGTTGTTCGAACATCAGACCTCTACTTCCAGTGTGAAAAGAATATCATCATTTGAAAGAGCTGGATAAATCTCTCTCGCCACAAAATTGTGCTTTGATCGTTAAAGAATGAAGGTACCAAAAAGTTTTAAAGCTTTTTTAAAAAAAATAATGAGGTATAACAGCCAATATTACCGCACTCTAATCGTGGAGATTTTGGAGAATCCGCGGTCACTCTTTCGTCTCATTCTCGTAAATCATCAATGATAAATGTTTGCACTGTTTGTCCTGTGCCTTAGATCGATGAAATGCTTCGCTCATTTATGATGACTTCATGCACCATTTTTTCTAAAATGTAATATCTCGCTATGATCAGGTGTGTAATTTTGACTGTTAGGCAGATCGTATTATTTTTACACGGTAGTTAAAAATCACAGTGAAGGTTCGATTGTTCTATATTTATTGAAGGAAATTTGGCAACGTCTTAAGGTGCATACGCCGTTTTTCCTTGGCACGGCAGAAGTAAAATAGGAAACCGACTTGTAATCATTCAACTTGAACACCACATCTCACGAAGCTCCTTCAAATGGGTGACTATGCAAGGTGAGCGTACTGGCGTTAGTTTAGATGCATACCGATCGCGGTGCTATGTCACTCACATTCTTCCGAGTCCGAGTCAAACACGCTCGTTGTGTTTTCTGCAGTGCTCTCTTGCCTCCCCATTCATCTCCCTCTCCTTTGCTAAACTATTTAAAATCTTACGTTTAATTTTAATAGAGCAGTTCGAGTATACAGCAACGATAAAAATATTGATTATCTGTAATCTTCATTACATACTACTTTGTGACTAATGAAAATTTTTCAATTCTACTTCCTCGCAGTAAAACTGACTTATAGGTACCTGTCTAGATTATTTCGGAAGTAAACATTTAATGTAAAGTCTGTTCAGTACAATAACTTTTTCCCCCTCAGATTAGTTTTTTAGCTTTCTGTTTTTCGAAAAAAAATATTCGTTTTGACGTCAGCGAAATTTTGCCAGGGAAACCCCCAGCAAAATACCGATACTTAATTAATTATCTTTAGATTTCACCCGAAGTCTGAGAACAGTTTTCCTGTCATTTGGGTTTTGACTTACAATACTGATACAAAATAATTATTGGTCCTCCTTAGTTTAAATAATAACACACTAATTTGATTATCATCGGTATCAGATTTTTTCAATCCAATCCTTATCAACATTACTTATCACTAGCCTCGTGCAAAGATCGGTTGTGATCGTAAGTTGATCGCGCGTTGATCAAATTACCCATTGGCACACTCTGTGTCGCATCCTATAAAAATTTATAAATTAAATTCATACAAGCGGAAAGTCCGGCATGCGCAAAAACCAAAATCATTAGGCATAAAATCATCCAATTTTCCTGAGACCAATCTTTTTAATGCAGGGAATACTATGCTTAGTTTTTCTGAAAATGGCTTCGTACGAATTCAGTACTCAGTTTTAAATCAATAGATTTGATTGCGATTGTAAGTTGATCGCGCGTTGATCAAATTACCCATTGCCACACTTTATATGACATCCTATTGGAATTAATAAATTTAATACATAAAAACGATAAGTCTAACATGCGCAAAATCCAAAATCATTAAAGGAGGGCATAAAATCATCCAATCAATCATGCAAGTTTACTGAGACCAATCTTTTTAATGCAGGAAATACTATCCTTAGTCTTTCTGAAAATGCCTCCGTAAGAATTCAGTACTTAGTTTTAAATCAATAGATTTATGAAGAGAGTCGACTCATCCGAACGAGTGAAAAAAAAGGTAATATTATAACATAAAACCATCGATGACGTCAATTGAACACTTGACTTCATAGGGCTTTCTGGAAGTTAGACGATAGACTCTTATGAAAATCGCGAGTGTCCACGAATAGTGGCAAAAATCGTAAAAACCATGAACACGGCAATACGAAAATCCTGTCCTCTGATTGGGTGGATGGAAAACATGCCGCGTCCTCTCAACCGGCCAGAAGCCGCTAAATTCACGTGTTTGTCAATTAAGGAGAAAAACGCAATCCTAGTCCTCGTGACAAACAAACAAAGAAAGAGCAAAACAAAACAACAGGAACGACAGTGTAATCAAATCTTTGAATGGACAATTGCACGCGCTATAAATAATGTACATTTACATCAAAAATTATTGCAGTATCATAGTTGAATGAAAAACATGTACCACCAGCGTTGTCAAAATGTGTGTTGAACTTAAAACAAACCCTCCCTTTTGAATTAATTTCTGGACTGAAACTTGGATTTTTTTCACTCTGAGGCAACAAGAGCGGCGTTTTTTTATCTGATTAAATGAGAGTGATTGCTGTCATGATACCCTGCATAAACTCGCCCATAAAACTTTACACAAATTGTATTTTTACATTTTACGCAACAGCTCTCTTGGCGGTCGTTCAGGAAACTAACCACCGCGAGTCCGCCGCCCGAAGCGAAACGGGGGCGGCATGAGATCATTCCAACGAAACACAGCAATTCGATTCGGATCAATCGTGCGAAGAACATTAGCGGAATATCATTCCGTCGCGATTGGGCGATAAACCGCATATTGCAATGGCAAAAGTTTCATTGTGATCGTATATAGTAAAAAGGACTTAAATGGAGATGTTGCATGTGTGAGGAATTTGCGATTTGACTATTGATTCTTACGTAAAAATTCGCGAGAAACACGATGGTGCCACTGGTTTTCTCTGAAATCAACTCCCAAGCTCAAAAAAAGCTCTCGAGTTGAGGCCAAAATGGAGGGGATATTCCACGCTATCCCTGAGAGTCCACCTCTACATCAAGACAAACTCTCCTTATTGCAAAGATAGGGACCAAATACATTGACAGAGCTGCCAGTTTATTTGGGGACTCTAAAACTGAAAACACGGCATCCTTGTCAATGTATTTGCTCCCTATCTTTGCATGGAGAGTTTGTCTTGATGTAGAGGTGGAGCCTCAAGATAGCGTGGGATATCCCCTCCATTTTGGCCTTAACTTGAGAGCTTTTTTGAGCTTGGGAGTTGATTTCAGAGAAAACCAGTGGCACCATCGTGTTTCTAGCTAACTTTTACATAAGAATCATCAGTCAAATCGCAAATTCCTCACACATATGCAACATCTCCATTACCGGTGATACATTTTTGCAAAGAGCTCTTTTTGACACGATGGGTAAATAGATAAATTTTTGGACTTTCCAATGTAAAAGCCCTTTGAGATCCCAAATATTAAGGTGATTAACTCTTAGATGTCCAAAAAATTTTATTTTATAGGCCAAGTTCCAAGTCAGATCCAATTGACTAATATATAAATATACGATTTTGATGAATTGTGAAGTATTTTTTGTTATTCGTATGTCTGCAAGGTAAAAAAGACTTCTTTTTTTTTGGAAATTTTCACCTCTTTGGTAACCCATGGAAGCTTTCTCACCCCTTTCCTCCTCATCCGCCATATGTGAATCCCCAAGAAAAAGTAGTTGGGTCAATTTGACCCGGCTTAGAATTTGCAGGGGTAGTCGTTTAAAAAAAAATTTCCCCGACACGACGGCATTCTCACCAAAATTTCAATCGTTAGACGTGCACCCTTTAGGGCTTTTAAGAGATCTCTAAGTCTTTTTTTTTTTTTTATTTTTTGTATCTTAGCATTTTTTGAAAACCTCAACATTTCTCAAATTTAAATAATTAGAGACACCTCAACTCGCGTTGATGGCGGTGCAGAGATTCAACTATCAGTGATCGTTGAATTTCCGTGTTACATCCACAAAATAGAAGCGTGATGTCGCGAGACGTGAACTTGCCTCAAAGCTGCTAATGAAGCGTCGCTCAGATTCAGAAAAAAAGTTGAAAAACTACGCCCGAATACGTCTCTCCTTTCCTCGGCTGTGTTGCACACATAGTCCTTGAAGCACCACTACAAATAAGACAAACAAAAATCAACACGATATGGAAAGATAGCAAGGATTAGGACGCGCGCGTCGATGACGGCGCAGAGATACAACTATTCGTACTTGATGGATGTCTGTGTTGCATCTTCAAAATTGAAGGCGCGATGACGCGAGGTGTGAACTCGCAAAAGTCCGCTGGTGCCAATGATGTTTCGAATTTCTGCGTACCTTCTTAGCTTTATGCCTTCAAGTAGCTAATATACAAATTAGTATTGTGACAATTTTTTCTTGCTTCTTGTTGCTCTGTATCTACTGAAAGTGCCTAACTATTTTTTTAAAAGTCTACGATGTCTACGTTGTTTTCT